TGGATTCAGTTGATTTTATTTTTGTAAACACATTTAAGTCATTTCCAGACTGTCTGTTTAGGAATACCTTGGTGAAAATCTGACAGATCACAGGAGTTTTCCCTGCAACCTAATTCTGTAACTATTTACAAGCTTTCTAATCCTGGCTATTGCAGCTATCAGCATAAAAATAGATTCAACATAGATCTATTAGTCCATCTCATTGCAAAATGCTGAAAAAATATGGCTCTATTTTTCCAGAGTTAGATAATTGTTCACTGTTCAGCTGTCCTGTCTGAATACATTATGCTCTATTGAGTTGTTAAAGAAATAATCATGGAGTGTGCATGTTTCTATCATAGCCATAGTCAGGCAAGTAAGATAGGGGTTGATATATACAGTCTGTGAAAGTATTATCCTTGTAAAACTGCAGAAAATACAGAAGCTTGAACACAAACACCAGCAGGTTCAGGAACAGCTTCTTCCCTGCTATTATTAGACTGATGCATGGACTCTGTAACCTCAAATAATGCTGATCTTGCCAATGTTGATCTTGCATAGTGCACGTCCTGTGTGACATAACCTGTACACCTCTGTCTAAGTTTTTGCCTTTAACCTTTAGATCTATGCGTCCTTGTTTACTATAATCTGCTTGCACTGCTTGTAAACAAAGCTTTTCACTGTACTTAGGTACACATGACAATAACTAAATCAAATCAAATCAAATAACAGCATCACTTGCTGGTGAAGATCTGTGCTTATTATTGGTTACTGCACCTTGCCTTTTCTTCTCTGTAGTGTGGCCAAAAACAGAAAAATCAGCAAAGCATATCAAAGTAAGATCAGAAGTTATCTTGAAAAAATATAAATGTTTCCTTTTCAGACATTCTTTCTCAATTATTACATAGGATTGATTAGGTTGAACAGCAATCGGGCCATTCACCCCATTCAATCTATGCTAGTGTTTATAGGCCACTAGAGGCTCCCTGTATCTTTCTCAACTGAGTGTACCATTGCAACTCTGTTCCCTTTTCCTCATTTGCTTGTTTAGCTTCCCCTGAAATGCATTGATAGTCTTCACTTCCACCACTCACTCTGGGAGCGAGTTCCACATTCTCCGCACTGTCTGGATGAAGATGTTTCTCCTGAATTCCCATTGGATTTCTGGTAGTCCATCTCATATTGCTGGTTTCTAGTTATGCTGTTTCCCAAAACACTTGCCTTTTTATCATTTTCTTAGATTTATTCATTTTCAAAGCCTCCATTCGGTCACTCCTCAGTCTTTGTTTCTCCTGAGAAAAGGCATCCAGCTAACTGATCCTTTCCTGATTTTTGTTTCATTAGTTCAGAGGACGTGGCTGTGGCGGACTTGCTTAACATTTCTTGTCCATCTCTAACAGCCTGTTTCCTTGACATGGCTAAATAACATCTGAAAACTAATTCAAAAAGTAAGAGACAGTTTATAAAATTCAAAAGTAAGATGATGGCTCATCAATCTGAACCATTAAATGTTTCTCTCTTGTTTCTCCTGCTGAGCATGTCCAGCAGTTTCTGATATTATTTCAGTTTTTCTAATATCTGGTTTTACTTCCCATAAATGGTGACACTAGGAGTGAAGAAGAAATCAAATCTCAATCACTCAGCCTCCTTGCTCCAAGTTCCTTTATTTGTTGTCACCTTGTCACTGCAGTTCCACACATCATCTTCCTAAACTAGAGAGGCTACAATCACCAAAACTGCTCTCCTCCACGAAAAGCTGTTCAGCTTCCTGACCAATTGGAAATTTCAAATTGAGATTGATCAATTTCTGTTAGGTAAAGGGTGATAAGTGTCAAGGAGCCATGCTGAGCAGATAGAAACATAGAAAATAAGAGCAGGATTCAGCCCTTCCAGCCTGTTCCATGAAAAACAGGACCATGGCCCATCATCCAACTCAGTCCCCTGTTCCTTCTTTCTCCCAATACCCTTTGATCCCTTTAGCCCTAAGAACTATGCCTAAAGCCTCCTTGAAAACATTCAAAATTCGGCGTCAAACGCTTTCTGTGGTAGTGAATTCCATAGGCTCCCACTGTCGAGGTGAAGACATCTTCATCTCAGTCCCAAATAGTTCCCCTGTATCCTCAGACTGTGACACCTGGTTCTGGACTCCCTAGTCACCAGGAACATCCTTCCTAATTGAAGCTGCCTAGCCCGGTTCGAATGTTATAGGGTTATGTGAGGTCCTGCTTCAATCTTCTAAACTCCGTCAAAGATCAGCCCGGATTTATTGGAAAACTGGAGTGGGTTCAGAGGGTCACCCCCCCACCCACTCCAAACATGTGTCCTATGGCGTGTACACTTTAATTAGTGTCACTGAAAATTTGTTAGGCTTTGTTTGAAGATTCAGACGCTAAGATATCAATAACGGAGAGGAATATTTTACATTTGTCCATATAAAGTATATTGGAGAGCTGCCTTGCAGCTCTATTGCAGTATTTAAATATTGCAGGTGACATTGTATATTCTGTGAATTGTTGTATTTGGCGGCAAATATTGAAATTTCTAAGTATTAATTAGAATTTCGGAAGGCTCTTTAAGTGTTAGTTTACAAATTGTCTGGACCATAGCCCATTCTGTGAATTCCAGTGGAGAGTGGGTTAAGCTGCGGGTTAGCGTTAGTCTGGTGCCCGGCTGCAGTTTCCCCGGGACAGACCCTCCCGCCCGCCAGTAGATCGCTCCTGACCAATCTGCACAGCGAGTCCGGATTTTCCGCTAACCGGGATGTGGCTTTCCACTGGGAAAGAGGATTTCTAAAATCACCCCAAAGCATGAAGGGCTGTGGGTTGGTTGGATTTACCGAGCCCAGTGTTGTGTAACCCGCCCGGCTCTAGACCACAACATGTTGGCATTGCTGCCAAAGGAAACCATTCCCCCATTTACAGGGGGATTGTGTTAGAAACCCAGCCCTGCGTGAGCCTTCCCGCTGTCCCACTGAGTGTTGTTCTCTCTGTACAGGCTGCTCTCCATTACCCGACCACAAAACTGCACCTCACCTTAAACTGTCGGCAGAGTTCGATCAGTCACCGATGTCCCCATAAGATACCCATTGGGAAAGGGGTCAGGAGGTGGACAATGCGGGACCCAGGAATAGTGGAGCCCAGAGCAGACGCAAAACTGAGATGGATAGTCGGGTTCACTCTCCGAGCTGCCGGATGTCCCAATAAACAGCAAGATGCAGGTCCAGAAATTGAATCATTCGTCGGAATAAAAGTCAAATTTAAACACCGAATGAAGATCCCACGGAAATGATTGTCATCCAGAAGTTGCAGGGTGGAGTGTGTTTGAACACTTTTCCAAAATCGCCAAAAGTAGCTCAAATCAGGGCGGTCTTTAACGCGTTTACCTCCTCTTTAAATCTAGGTAAAACTCAGCTCGGAGCCTGGGCAATGGGTTGCAGCTCTGTCCCCAGACAGTGCTGGAGAAACTCAGCAGGTCAGGCAGGCTCTGTGGAGAGAAACAGAGTTAACGGCTCAGCTCCGTCAGCGGTATGGACTCAGCACCCAGAGAGCCTGGGAAAGACATCCCAGACCGGGATGTGGAACTCTTGTAAATGAAACGGCAAAGTGTTTTCCAAAGAACCATCCGAGACAAAGGGAAGTTACACAGAGAAACCAAGAAGTAATCATTTTATTCGCGGATATTGTATAATACACATCTCAGGTAGTGGAGTTAGAACACTCCCGCTAGACACTTCCTTTACATTATTCTGAAATCAGATCTTTCACATTGACACCTGGGCTTTTGCCCAGCCCAGAATTGAAGCCGCCTAACCTTTCTTGTTCAGGGAGTTGGATGTTGATGTGAACTGGCATGCAAGATTGAAATAATATTCCATAGCCAGCAAACACAGATATGCAGATTTAGCAACAGCAACTGAGCCAAAGCTAGTTTGGAAGGCGGCAGGGCACGGGGCGAGGGGGCTGGAGTGCGTCAGACTTCCCAACTATCAGGGAGAGTCAGACAGAACTCTGTGACAAAACAACTCACTACAATATCTGACATTCCCGAGAACATAGACGTCGATCTCCGTGTAATCGCAAGTAAACAACAAGTGTTTTAGAAACCCTGACCGGAATATTCACGGTTTGGATGTAAACTGGGTGATTGTCCCATTGGGGAGATTTGGGAATGAGCGTGCGGACTGTGTAAAATACAGTCAACATGCTTACTCGCAATAACTATCACCAAATTATTTAACGTCAAAAGAAACCTTAGTTTGTAAAACTATTTATATCACGAAGTCCTGTGTAGAATGTACCTCTTTTCGAAGCCTCTGCCATCCGTGAAATTTCAGTGAGTTTACCCCCATGAAGCAGTTCTAGAGAAATGCACGGTTGAGCATCGCGTTGAAATGACAATTTGATCGCTTTGTAGCAGCGGGTAGGGGGAATAAGAAGCAGTGTTTTGTGAACGATGTAGCTTGTGTAGCGAGCTTGTGTAGTTACAGACTCTTTCCCAGTGACACTGTCCCAGAGAATCCTCTGTCTCTCACATTTCCCACCCTTAGTGAATATCACCCTCTGGACAAACTCTGAGTTGGGAAAATTATTGATTTGATTATATATCGATCTAGTTAAAGGCTGAAGCCCGGCCTGTGCCACAAGGAGGGGGGGGTGGAGGATGTGGATGTGTATTCCTCACCAGGAGTCCGGGGCCCCCGCTTCCGCCCCCAACCCCCGGTTATTGCAATCTCCCTCCCTCCCCACCTCATTGTCCGGCTCTCCCTCCCCTCCGGGCGCTGTAGTTGGGGGTGGGGGAGGAGGAGGTTTGGGGAAGTTCGGTCCTTGCTCTGCTATCACACGGGCGAGTTGTTGTGGGGAGGGTGCACAGTTTCCCGGTGGGGTCCCATCGGAGGGAGTGCCCGGTGTTAGTGAGGGGCCCGGGGACAGACAATGGGCAACACTGTGGCGGAGCACCCTCCGTGTCCCTCTCCCTCCTCCCCCCGCTCCCCCCTCCCACCTCACCCCTCACCCTCCGACTCCTCAGTCCACCCGCTCCCGGCCTGTGCCCAGTGCCTGCCCCGGGGGGAGTGGGTATAGGCGGGGAGACTGGTGCAGGGAGGGGTCGATGTGCCAGGAGCTGAGCTGGTGGCACACGGTGGCGATACCAGTCTCAGTGCCAGGGGCTAGCTCCCGCTCTTCCTGCTCCTCCCCGGCCACATCCTCGGCGATGGGCAGTAGCGTGAGGCCACTCCTGGTCCCCTCCAGCGGGGGTCGGTACGGGCACTGGCTGTTTAGGAGCTTCCTGATGGGTACCAGGGGCACCATACCCTCTCCGAGCCGCAGCTGCTGCCGGTGGCGGGCATCATCCTGCCGCTTGAGCCGCTTGAAGTCGGTGAAGGCGGAGCGGGAGAGCTGCTGGAGCTGAGCCGCTAGTTCCTGGGCCCGAGCAGCTTTGGACAACAACACCGCATGGCACCGCAGGACCACCGCCTTGTGCTTCACCTGGTGCCGGTAAACCCAGGCCAGGACCCGCCGCCGCTGCCCGTCCGCCGCGCAGTACGTGATCCGGTGCAGAAGGTACAAGTGGCCGCTCTGTTTGCATTTGTATTCCGCCTGCCTCATCCGGATGCCGTGAGGGCCGATGGTGAGTTTCATCTTGGTACCTGCTGTGCCCTGCTCACACCGTGCCCAGATCCTGGCCACTGCCTGCTCGGTACAGCCGTCCCCGCGGGCGGTAAAGGTGACCGCGTTACCCAGGTACCAGACCGTGTAGCTCGGGGCGTCCCGGGTCAACTGCAGCTTCTGCCGCCTGCTCCTGAACATGTTGCCGAGCCGGGGCAGCGGGCACTGCGGCCAAATGCCAGGGCATGCCCGCACCAAGGAGGAGAGCAGCGTGCTGTAGGTCACACCGCCGGCCGACAAACTCTTCGCCTTCGCCTGGCTTTCTTCATCCAGCAGGACCAGCTTGCTCCTTCTCCAGGGCAGCATGGTGTGTGTGTGAGAGGGAGACAGAGAGAGAGGGGAGCAGTGCACAGAGAGAGCACCCCCCCCCCCCAGACACACACACACCCCCCCCCCGCCCCCCCCCACCCCCACCCCCCCCCCCCCCCAGGCAGCCGGAGAGCCTCACCCCCCCCCCCTCCCCACACACACACCCCACCACTACCACCCACCTCCACAGGCAGCCGGAGAGCCTCCCCCCACACACACAGACACCCCACCACTACCACACCCCCACCCCCCACCCCCCACAGGCAGCCGGAGAGCCTCCCCCACACAGACACAGACACAGAGATACACACAGACAGAGTGCTATTGCTGCGGCGCTGTGTGACCGCCTCTTCCCGCCGCTCAGGCACCGCCTGCTCACGGTGGGGGGTGGGGGGTGGGGGCTGGGTTCCTGCTGCTGCAGCTCCCGGAGCTTCCTGACACCTTCCCCATCCCCTCCCCAACCTCCTAAACTACCCCCCGGGAGTACTGTCCCGGCTGGCTCCCGGGGGAAAGCCCTGTCTCCGTTTCCCTGCCCACCCCCTAGGCTGAGCGGGACGGGCCGAGTGGCTCCTCTGGAGCCGGACAGCGGCTTCTCCAAGTTTGGCCCGGATTGCAAACTTCCCGGAGGCAGGCTTTTCCCTTCCCAAGGAACCGCTCTGCGCCTGAACAGAATTCCATGGCCAGGTTCGGCATGAAGAACCTGCTGGGAATCTGACAGTGTCCGGCTTCACTTGCCGCTGGTTATTCACGCCCGGGGGGAGCTCTGCTGGATTCCCGCTGAAGCGGCAGTAGGACGCAGGCGCTTGTCCAATGCACTGGTTTGCGAGCAGGAGGCTGCGGCACTTTTGGGCTTTTCACAGGTTCCTTGTCTCCGGGATTCGTCACCTGTCGCTGAGGTCAATTTGAAGCCCCAGGTCCCCCCACCCCGCGACCCCAGCCCCCGCCCGCTCTCACTGCGGGATTGCAGCCGGAGATTTCCCCCAGAGGACACGGCCACTCCCCGCGATGGAGCGGTGGCAGGTCAGTGCTGGTCAGCCTCAGGGACCCAGTTTGTCTCTATTCCGGCCATCCAGCGGGAAAATGCTCCGTCTCAACTCACCCAGAGCTCAAACTCTTTATCATCTTCACAATCGCCGGCTCCAGTTGTGGGATCCATCGCCCATTGGGACAATCCAGCTGTTTTAAAGCTCAGTCTCCCTGGCTCCAAGTCCCTGTCATCGCCCCTTTGCTCATTCCTCTATACTGCTACCCTCCGGAAGGTCCATTTCAAAACATGCTCGCTGGTTTCCAGGTTTTCCACAGCTTCATCTTTCCTTATCTCTGGAACCTGCCCCTCCCTATCTCTCTAACAGTGTCCCTCCCCAACTGTCTAACCGTGCCCCTCCCTATCTCTCTAACCGTGTCCCTCCCTATCTCTCTAACCGTGTCCCTCCCTATCTCTGTAACGTGTCCCTCCTTATCTCTCTAACTGTGTTGCCACTATCTCTCCAACCATGCCCTGCCTATCTCTCCAACCGTGTCGCCACCATCTCTCTAACCATGTCCCTCCCTATCTCTGTAACCATGTCCCTCCTTATCTCTCCAACCGTGTCCCTCCCTATCTCTGTAACCATGTCCCTCCCTACCTCTCTAACCATATCCCTCCCTATCTCTCTAACTGTGTCTCTCCCAATCTCTCTAACCATGTCCCTCCCTATCTCTCTAACCATGTCCCTCCCTATCTCTCTAACTGTGTCTCTCCCTATCTCTCTGTGTCC